AAATGGCATTAATGGAAACACCCTTCGAAGAAACATCAAAATGCACTAAATAAATAACAAAAAGTCAGTAGCTGCTTGATTCTAAATTGAACATAAAAAACCCATTTCATACCTAATAAATAAATAAATACACAAAGCGAACAACACTAAGAGCTAAAGAAAATAAACTCAAATTTAAGAATCACGCATCTAAGAAAAAATACAAATCCCTTTGACCCAAGGGCTAAAGAAAATAAACTCAAATTTAAGAATCACCTATCTAAGAAAAAATACAAATCCCTTTGACCCAACCAAAATAAATAAATAAATAAATAAACACCACCATTCAGCAGGTCTAAGAGAAACTGATGCACCAAAATTTGTGTACCTGTGAGTGAGACAATTACAAAGTAGCAGCTTTATGGAGAAGCTAAGATTTGTAGACTTAATTCGGTTTAGATTTTCTGCAGAAATAAACAAATGCGGTCATCAATCTCACACAATAGATAAATGATGTAGCCTTCAGAAAAAGAAATTTTATAACTATGTTTTTTAGCAATTAAAATGCATAACTATTTTGAAAGAAAAATATGCCCCTTCCTAAAACTTAGTAATAAAAACAAGAAAAAGGGAGCACGGAAAGGAAACGAAAGAAAATAAAAGAAAAGAGGGCCTTTTTGTTTCTTTTTAAACCATAAATACCGTGAATTTAGAATGTACAATTGAAAGATCAATTAAGCAAATAATGAGAAAGTTTGGACGCCCCTCCTATAAAAACAAGAGAGGCACTAAACCATTACGGCTCTGTAGAGCCAAATTGAGAATGATATATTATTAAAAGTAAAAGCAAAGCAGAGAGGTTTCTCCAACCAATTTTCCCATCATCTCTCTCCTTTCCCAAACACATCCATCTCAATTTTCCTCCCTTTCTTCTCAAACCACATCAATCACATCTAAATACATGGTAGAAATTGCACGTACAGCCAAATTACACATATCAAACACAATAACACAAACAAAACTAGCGCACCTCATAGGAAAAAATGAGTATTCGTGTCAATGGCACCAAGTAGTGTGCCAAAAAATCAATTGCAGACCAGTACTAATTCTGAATTGAAACATCTGAAAATCTAATATACAGAAAAAGAAAAGTAGTCACACAACACTAAAAACCGGGAAAAAAAGGAACACAACTTGAAGAATCATAAAATTCAAGAATCACATAAAACTTTAAGGCCCAAAACAATATTTTCTTGAAAAAATAAAAACAAAAGACGACAGATAGCCAAATTAAGAAATTTAGTTAAACGCGAAATTTATGAGAAAAAAGGCATCATCTGCAAATTAGAAACACATCAAAGGAACTCACAGGGAAAAATACAACAATAATTTTTGCTCAATGAAGAAACAAATACTTCAACTTTGACAATAAAGAAGGAAGAAAAAAAAAGCTTTAAAGTAGGAACTGGTTTAGCCCAGACGAAAAAGAAACAGAGAGAGAGAGAGAGAGAGAGAGAGAGAGAGCAAATGACAACGTATGAAGAATCTTTCAACCAAATCATTCATCGGATTTACCACACTTTCTCAAGAACCAAACACACAAAAAAATGGAATCACAAAATAGAGAAGTAGAGTTCATCACGGAAATGTAGAAAGAATCGACATCATCAATCGAGTCGATGGGGATTCTAAACGGCAAAACAGTGTCGCCGTCATACATTAAAGGAGAATTGCCCAAAAACATCATCCAGGACCCAAGACATTTCAAGAATCCACAGCAAAAAATACCCACCTCTCTTCGGAGCAAGCAAATGTTGGAAAATTCGGATTTAGTTGAATGAAAAGAATGTAGAAATCAAGAAGAGGGTTTGAGGCGTATAGGAATATTTTCTTTTAAGGTTTTATTTGCCCTCACTTCTCAAAGTAAGTTTGCTAATGAGTTTTAATAGCAAATTACCCCCAAGATACAACAAACTCTTGAACACAATATCCAGTAAAAATATTGAGTTCCAGAACAAGAAGTAAGTCTGTATATTTTCTGGAGCACTGTTTAAAGACAGGGGTGCATGCATCCTCTTTAAATGTTACAACCTTTCACATAAAGATGTCTTTTCCAATATGAAGGTATCTTTCCATGGGCTGATGCATTTATTACAATAGTTATATCTATTGTTAATAAGTACTCAGATATGTGACAAAACATATCACAAATGGATGCAATAATTCAAGACCTTTTCAGATTACTAAAACACATGAAAACACGTTTTTCCCAGAAACAGACCCGAGAGGTCTGTTTTGTGTGCTATTGCATGCTGCAGCGTGTGCTGCTGTGCACTGCAGCGCGCGCTTGTGTGTGCCTGTTTTCCGAATGGCACTGCAGCGCATTAAACATGCGCTGCAGTGCTTCCTTCTTGTGTTTTAGGTCAAAATTATGTGATATTGTAATTGAGATATATATTACAATCTCTCAAACAATCCTCCACTAGATTGTAATATTTCTCCAGAATTAATAATGATAAACACATACATACATGAAGGTATCTTTCGATTTTAACCTTCACTTAGTGACTATACTTCAAAGTATTCACAAGACAATAGTGTGCTTTGCATTAAACTTTGTCTCTTAAGAAAATACCGGAAACATATCACATATGTGTTATCCCAGACTTAAAAACTGTTCCAATCGTTTAACACTACTCCGGCCTTGTGCTCTATCTTGGATTCATGAACATTTACAAGACTAAACCATGGTCTTGTTAGGAACGGCACCATTCCTTATGTTCACTTAGGTGAAGATTCGAATTATATCTCTAGCTACTATGAGACTCGAACTCCATTAAGAGTATAAACTCAACCTCAACCACGTAGCTATTTTTGCACCAACATCTTGGAAGGGACTAATTAAAATTCGGCGTTAACCCGGTCACATAACAATAACTTGTTCTTACCCATTTAACTATGGAATAGCGGTACAACTATTACATAGTTGGGTTACCATCATCGGTGACTCTTTCAAAGAAAGGTTTCAGTCGCATTCCACTAGATGTTTGTTTGACTAAGTCTCTTGAAAGACCTTTTGTCAAAGGATCCGCTAGGTTCTTGTTTGTCCTAACATAAACAATATTAATAACACCATCGGTTATTAATTGTTTCACATATTCATGTCTCAAGCTAATATGTCTAGATTTTTCATTATAAAGTTTGTTATAAGCTCTAGACAAAATAGCTTCACTATCGCAGTACAAAGAAATAGATGGCATCACTTGTGGCTACAACTCAATATCAAACAATAGATTTCTCAGTCATTCCGCTTCTTTGCCTGTAGTGGCAAGTGCTATAAACTCACTCTCCATCGTAGAGTAAGTTATGCACGTTTGTTTCTTAGAAGCCCAAGAGACGACTCCTCCTGCAATTGTGAAAATCCAACCGTATGTGGATTTATTATCACTTACACTTGTTATCCAACTTGCATCTGAGTACCCTTCAAGTACGGTCGGATAGTCATTATATGACAAACCCAAATTAATGGTTCTTTTAAGATAACCAAGTACTCTTCCAATTGCATTCCAATGTTCAATACCTGGGTTACTCATAAACCTAGACATTTTGCATACCACAAATGCTATGTCGGGTCTTGTACAATGCATAGCATACATTAAGCTACCAATCGCACTGGCATATTCAAGTTGTGTCACCGCTCGGCTTGCATTCTCTAGTAATTTAATACTAGAATCATATGGGGTATTCGCTTCTTTAAACTTCAAATGATTGAATTTAAGAAGCACCTTCTCAATATAATGACATTGACACAATGAGTAACCCCCACTATGCTTCCTCACTCTTACACCTAAGATAAGATCTACCTCACCAAGATCTTTCATCTTAAATTGAGAAGTTATATATTTCTTGGTATCATTTACCCCTTACATGTTTGTTCCAAAAATAAGCAAGTCATCAACATATAAGCATATAATCACACCAAAACTATTTGTAAATTTATAGTATATGCATTTATCCGCATTATGATGCTTAAAACCATGAGATAAAATGACATTATCAAATTTCTTATGCCATTATTTTGGTGCTTGCTTTAAACTATAAAGTGACTTGACTAACTTGCAGACCTTCTTTTCATTTCCAAGTAGTACAAACCCTTCGGGTAGTTCCATATAGATTTCCTCATCAAGATCACCATTTAGAAAAGCCATCTTAACATCCATTTGATGCACATGCAAATTGTATATTGATGCAATAGTAAATATCACTCTTATGGATGTCAATCTAGCTACCGGAGCATATGTATCGAAATAATGTATACCACGCTTTTGTTTAAAGCCCTTAGCTATCAATCTAGCTTTGAATGTTTGTATAGACCTGTCGGAATAGTCTATACCATGTTTTTCCCGGAAACAGACCCGAGAGGTCTCCTTTGTGCGCTACAGCGTGCTGCAACGTGCGCTGCTGTGCGTGCAGCGCGCGCTGCCTTGCGCGCGCCGCAGCGCGCGCTTGTGCGTGCCTATTTTCTGAATGGCACTGTAGCGCATTAAATATGCGCTGCAGTGCTTCCTTCTTGTGTTTTAGGCTAAAATTATGTGATATTGTAATTGAGATATATATTACAATCTCTCTAACAGCAAATCCCTAAAAGATGAAAGAGAAGAAAAATCAAATCTTAGGGCTAAAAATGGAAATTTCAACCAAGAAACCATAGAGAAACAGGGAAGAGAAAAAAACGGAAAAGAAAGAGACTGAAAATGATAAATTTGTCAGAATTTTTCATTCAAGGCAAAACAAAAATTGAAGTATTTGACGTTTGAAATGCTTTACTGCCTCTTTCCTCATTAGAATATTTTCAAGAAAATTAAGTACCCTAGCTGCATGATGAGGGAAAAAAGGGAGATGGAGAGGGCACTAATCAAATAGCAACCAAACACTGACCAGAATTTCTATCTACAACAAACACTGACCAGCGCTAATAATAGAAAATCGAGGACCTCGAGAGGCTAAATATAAGTTAGAAGATGGAAGAAACATACAAAGGTGTTCAGCTGCCTGATGAAGCTCTAGAAGCTGTTGTGCTTGAATTACTTGGGCAACTGATAGCTGTCAGTAATTTAACTCGACTAAAAGACAGCTGTAATTTTATATAAGCTGAGCCATCTAGCAATGCCAAGCATTCACGTGAGTAAAAAGTGAGAAACAAAAAGGGCAAAAGTGGAAGATAAAGGGTGCGTTTGAACTCGTTTCAAAATAATTTTATTTTTTGTATAAAAATAGAAATGAAAACGTTTTCACAGAAATTATTTTTAAAAATGCGTTTGTTAGTTTTATTAAGAGATTATTTTCAATATAAAAAATCTATTAATGTCTCTCTCTCTCCCTCTCTGCTCGAGAGAGGAGAAAAAGAAAATAAAAAATGAAAAACAATTAAAAGTCATTTTTTATTTCTCTCTCATTTTATACTAAATCAAAAAATCGTTTTCATTTCTATTTTTTATCTTTAATTGTGCTAAACGTGTTTCTCTCCCGTTTTTATTTTTATTTTCTAAAAAAATGTGAAAAATAAAAACAAAAACAACCCCAAACACAACTAAAATTAACCGCCACGTGCTTGCTTTGAGACATAGTACATAGAGATGGATTTAAATATAGAACAGACAGATAATTGAACTACCATTTTCAAAATGTCACCCGCCTACATAAAAATTACTTTGTTGATTCAAAATATTAATAATTAGATTATAAGTAAAAGCAAAATAAGAAAAGCCAGTGTTGAGAATGAGTGGTCTTCAGATAATAAAATAACAATAGATGGAACCATTCCAATATATGATAAATATGAGAAGACTATTGAAACTGTTATAAAAGAAGACTATTTAAATACTTATATGAGGAGACTAATGAATTGTCATGAGGAGAGACCATTCTAAATGATATACTTATTGTAAAAAACTATTTATAAAGAAGAATAATATGTAAGAACGTAAGACTGTCTATAAAAATATGGAAAACAGAGAATGAGAGAGTATAAGAGCAAAACATTATCAAGACACATCTGAATTAACCTACGTAATCAAAAGTGTAGAGTTAAGACTGAATGGAAAGAAGAAACTCATCAGAAATTCCACATCAATAAATAAGGAACAAAGGGATAATTTTCAGAAAATAACAATGATAAGTTACAGAATAGAAAATGAAAGAAAAATTAAGGAAATAACCCTAGAAGAACATTGAAACAAGAGAAGATAAATAAAATACTCTATATTGAGCGTAATATATGGAGTCCTAAAACATGTAATTTCTCAAGCACCTGATGTTACAATGTATGTTATCAATTGCATAACGAAGGAACCAGAACAAAACTTAAGGCATAACAACAAAATGAAACAATTTTGAATAATAGAGACTTGGACCTCGTTCGCTTTGCGGATTCGAGTTTTCAATTGAGCTGAGATGTGACATTTTCTGAGAGCTTTTAACTGTAGTAGAAAAAATTAAATGTGACATTTTCTTATAGTTTTTAACTGTAAAAACTAAGAACTAAAAACTCGAATCGGTGAAATAAACGAGCCCCAAATTCATAATATTATTATTATACAAATGCCCTGCATATCGTCATCATCAAAAACAACATTGATAAAAGAAAGTTGCCGAGTCAATCCATAATGAATAAATAAGCATAGAAGATTAAAGTATCATAAATGTGAGGAAACATAAGAATTACAAAAAAAAAAAAATAAAAAAAAAAAAGGATTCAAAATAAATAAACAAAGAATAGGAATAATCATACTATTCTTAATCTACAAATACCAAAGCAGTTAATCTAACAGAACTAGATACAAATACCAGTTCTAACAGTATTTACAACAAACACCTAATCGACAACAAGTTTACTTAACTTCGCTAGAGATAAAGTAATCAAATAACATAATGTTGCCATACAAACAAATTGTTTCTGAAAACTGAATATAAAATTATGAATCTTTTTTTAAGCTGGAGGTGGAATAATTAAAATGAGTATAAGCCGACTGAAGGAGGAGGTCCAAACTAATTTCTGTTCTCGATTAATGACCAACTTACGCCTCAAGGATCTTTAGCCAAGAATAAATAGATAAAGCAACACTTCAAGGGCAAATACGTAATGTCAAAGTAAATGATAAATGCTCATACTGAAATCGATTTCCTTCACAAGACATATTAGTAGTTTTATTGACCAGACCTCTTCAAAAGTTTTATAAATTGCTGAAATTTGATCGGTTAATAATGAGAACCAGAGGTAAAATAAATAGATTAAATTGGTTCCATTTAAATGGACCATATTGCTTCTTGAGACTTATTCATTTGGTTCAAGAAACTTAATTTCTCTGTAACTAACAAGCACGTAGTGCTAGAAACAACAAGACATAACATGGTATCTTGCAGCCAGAGATTAGTAAGAGGGATAAACTATGACCATGAAATTGCTAATTTGCATTTGCAACAAAAAGAAAGCTCTTGAGCCCTTAACGATATGAATGCACACAACAGTGTAAAGACTCTGCCACAATAGATCAACTCAAACAAGCAAAAAACTAACCTGCCCTTTTCGTTAGCAAAGCTAATTCAATCCAAAATAAAATATAATAAAAAGCTAATTCATGTAGCATAAATATATAATTCCACTCCACTTTTTCCACACTGCAATAAAAGCAGTTATAAGACCCATTCTCTCCAAAGAGAGAGCTTCTCCAATGATGCATACATGTATATGGAATAATAAATATGAACACATAGCATGTCACACCAATCTGTATTTACCAGAGAGTGAAAAAAGAGAGTGATGCGCTTGAACGTGGTAAATTCCTCCACATTGCTGACATCAGTCAAACTTCTTTGAACAATTGCTTTCCCTAAAAAAAAGGAAAATGGGATGTCATGAAAGAAACTACCAAAAAAAAAAAAAAAAAAGGAAAACAAAACGTAGATTAAGTTTGCAACGCAAGCATTGTCCAGGCCTTAACACAACTACCATTCTTGCCTTTGCTCATTCCTATACATTTTTTAACACCCTTAGACCCCGTTCATTTCACCGATTCGAGTTTTGTTATAGTAAAAAGCTCTCAGAAACATTCACATCTAACTTTTTTACTACAGTAAAAAACTCTCACATAAAATCACATCTCAACTCGGATTAAAAACTCGAATCAACGAATTAAACGGGCCTTTAATGTTAAAGAAAAATACAGGCCAAAAAAAACATTAAATGGCTTGTTAAAAGAACAGTTTCTACAAACCTACCAGATTTAAAAAAGTGTGAGATGGTCCATACCTTTTGAGAACTTGTACTAGCCAGAGTATACGCTTTGTTAAATAACATAGATTTCCTTTTACCACAAAAAGTGAGGAAAAAGAAGTTGACAAAACAATAAAAGTAACAAAGTTTTAAGTCCGCTTAACTTATGTACAGTAAACCTAAAAGAAAAAAATGCAAGGATGGAGAGATATAAAATATCTAATTACAAACTTTATATAAAATTCTTCAAAAGTTCCAATTATGTAATCAGTGTTTGCTTTTAGAAATACCCATTATTTCTTTAAAAACCCACAAACAGAAGTTCATATATCTTAGACAAAAGTTAGTATCAAATTAAACTAAAATATGGGTGTGATCTATAAAAAGAAAGAGAGAGGGAGAGAAAGAAAGAAGAAGATATATACGTAAGCCAAAACAATTAAAAAAAAGGATTTTAAGCCAAAAAATAAAAATAAAAATAAAAAGCAGATACAAAAAAAAAGAAAATGATTAATTTCAAAAATTCTCCAAGAACTATAACCGTTGTAATACTTTACCTCTTGAATTTTAAAACGTAACATCCGCTCCTCGAAAAAGAGAGAGAGAGATAGAGAGAGAAAGAAAGAAAGAAAGAAGATATATACATAAGCCAAAATAATTAAAAAAAAGGATTTTAAGCCAAAAAATAAAAATAAAAAGCGATTTCAAAAATTCTCCCTGAACTATGACCGTTGCAACACTTTACCTCCTGAATTTTAAAACGTAACATCCACTCCCCGAGAAAGAAAAGAGAGAGAGAGAGAGAGAGAGAGAGAGAGAGAAAGAGAGAAAGAGAGAAAGAGAGAGAGAGAGAGAGAGAGAGAAAGAAGAAGATATATACGTAAGCCAAAAGAATTTAAAAAAAGATTTTAAGCCAAAAAATAAACATAAAAATATAAAAGCGATACAAGAAAAAAAAAAGGATTAATTTTAAAAATTTCTCATGAACTATGACCGTTATAACACTTTATTCCTCAAATTTTAAACCGTAACATCCACTCCCCGAGAAAGAGAGAGAGAGAGAAAAGAAGATATATACATAGGCTAAAAGAATTAAAAAAAAGGATTTTAAGCCAAAAAAATGAAAATAAAAATAAAAAGCGATACAAGAAAAAAGAACACCAGCATTTTAGGTTTTTATGTTTTGTACTTTAGTCTCTTAACTTCTTTTATTTGATAATTTAATCCCATAAGCTACATCATGTATTAAGACTTCTTTTATTTGATAATTTAATCCCATAAACTACATAATGTTTAATACACGGGATTGGAACTCAATATTGATTAGGAGCTCATCTTTAGCATCCAACTGCGAAATCATGAGTGAGATGACTCCTTGATTTAGCATTATGATGCTAAAGGTTTCTACTATGTGCAAAGTGGGTACAGGTTGGCAATGGAGTGGAAGTCTGTGCACTTGTTCAAACATGTGGTCGTGGAATAAACTAGGGAGGTTAAACTTACTGTTGACGGCTGAATTCCGTCAACAGAAATACGCCGGGTTACCTGCTGGTATCCCGTTGGGTTACCGGCTGGAAATTAACGGTTGTTCTTATCACGCCGACAAGTTCGGGCGGATTGTCCTGCCTTTGATCTTCCCATTGATCATTGTTCCGGCGATTGTTGTTGCTTCGTCGGTCAGCCCTGCATTCATTGAGCCTCCCTTCTCGGATCAACCTTTCAACTTCGTCTTTCAGATCAAAGCATTTGGCGGTCGTATGTCCGCTTTCACTGTGAAATCTACAATACTTGCTCTAATTTCTTCTCACCGGGTTAGACTTGAGCGGCGGTGGCCGACGCAGTACCTAGAGGTGACTTATCTCATGATAAACATCTGTTGGGAATGGTGTCCTAGAAGCATGATATGTGATAGGATATTTTCCGTTGCTACCAATTCGGGTGCAAACCTCGACAATTGATCGAACTTCTGCGCATATTCAATCACTGTAGAGTTCCCTTCCTTTAACTCTTGAAACTCGTCCATTTTTGCATCCAGAATGTTAGCGTTGTAGTATTTAAAGTTAAATAGCTCCAGAAATCCCGTCCAGGTTTATATAAAATTCTTCAAAAGTTCCAATTATGTAATCAGTGTTTGCTTTTAGAAATACCCATTATTTCTTTAAAAACCCACAAACAGAAGTTCATATATCTTAGACAAAAGTTAGTATCAAATTAAACTAAAATATGGGTGTGATCTATAAAAAGAAAGAGAGAGGGAGAGAAAGAAAGAAGAAGATACATACGTAAGCCAAAACAATTAAAAAAAAGGATTTTAAGCCAAAAAATAAAAATAAAAATAAAAAGCAGATACAAGAAAAAAGAAAATGATTAATTTCAAAAATTCTCCAAGAACTATAACCGTTATAATACTTTATCTCTTGAATTTTAAAACGTAACATCCGCTCCTCGAAAAAGAGAGAGAGAGATAGAGAGAGAAAGAAAGAAAGAAAGAAGATATATACATAAGCCAAAATAATTAAAAAAAAGGATTTTAAGCCAAAAAATAAAAATAAAAAGCGATTTCAAAAATTCTCCCTGAACTATGACCGTTGCAACACTTTACCTCCTGAATTTTAAAACGTAACATCCACTCCCCGAGAAAGAAAAGAGAGAGAGAGAGAGAGAGAGAGAGAGAGAGAGAGAGAGAGAGAGAGAGAGAGAGAGAGAGAGAGAGAGAGAGAGAGAGAGAGAGAGAGAGAGAGAGAGAGAGAGAGAGAGAGAGAGAGAGAGAGAGAAAGAGAGAAAGAGAGAAAGAGAGAGAGAGAGAGAGAGAGAGAAAGAAGAAGATATATACGTAAGCCAAAAGAATTTAAAAAAAGATTTTAAGCCAAAAAATAAACATAAAAATATAAAAGCGATACAAGAAAAAAAAAAGGATTAATTTTAAAAATTCCTCATGAACTATGACCGTTATAACACTTTATTCCTCAAATTTTAAACCGTAACATCCACTCCCCGAGAAAGAAAGAGAGAGAGAAAAGAAGATATATACATAAGCTAAAAGAATTAAAAAAAAAGGATTTTAAGCCAAAAAAATGAAAATAAAAATAAAAAGCGATACAAGAAAAAATAACACCAGCATTTTAGGTTTTTATGTTTTGTACTTTAGTCTCTTAACTTCTTTTATTTGATAATTTAATCCCATAAGCTACATCATGTATTAAGACTTCTTTTATTTGATAATTTAATCCCATAAACTACATAATGTTTAATACACGGGATTGGAACTCAATATTGATTAGGAGCTCATCTTTAGCATCCAACTGCGAAATCATGAGTGAGATGACTCCTTGATTTAGCATTATGATGCTAAAGGTTTCTACTATGTGCAAAGTGGGTACAGGTTGGCAATGGAGTGGAAGTCTGTGCACTTGTTCAAACATGTGGTCGTGGAATAAACTAGGGAGGTTAAACTTACTGTTGACGGCTGAATTCTGTCAACAGAAATACGCCGGGTTACCTGCTGGTATCCCGTTGGGTTACCGGCTGGAAATTAACGGTTGTTCTTATCACGCCGACAAGTTCGGGCGGATTGTCCTGCCTTTGATCTTCCCATTGATCATTGTTCCGGCGATTGTTGTTGCTTCATCGGTCAGCCCTGCATTCATTGAGCCTCCCTTCTCGGATCAACCTTTCAACTTCGTCTTTCAGATCAAAGCATTTGGCGATCGTATGTCCGCTTTCACTGTGAAATCTACAATACTTGCTCTAATTTCTTCTCACCGGGTTAGACTTGAGCGGCGGTGGCCGACGCAGTACCTGGAGGTGACTTATCTCATGATAAACATCTGTTGGGAATGGTGTCCTAGAAGCATGATATGTGATAGGATATTTTCCGTTGCTACCAATTCGGGTGCAAACCTCGACAATTGATCGAACTTCTGCGCATATTCAATCACTGTAGAGTTCCCTTCCTTTAACTCTTGAAACTCGTCCATTTTTGCATCCAGAATGTTAGCATTGTAGTATTTAAAGTTAAATAGCTCCAGAAATCTCGTCCAGGTCAGAGTATTCACATCCACGGTCCTCTTAACAATGTCCCACCAAATTCTTACATTGTTCTTCATTTGACATACCGCACATGCCACTTTTTCCTAATCTGTCAACTTCATGAAGTCAAAAATCTTCTCAAGACTACACATCCATTCTTCGACAATTAATGGATCAGTGTCCCCCTCAAATGTCGGAGGCTGTTGCTTCCTAAATCGATCATACACTCGCTCTCCCACCTAAGCCTCATTTTGATTCCGTGCCGGTTGCAGTGGTAGTGGCGATTGCTGTTGTTATGGTGGTGAATTCATATTAGCCTCCATTCGTTCGATGAAGGCATTAAGTCACTCGTTCTGCTAGCGAATTTGCTCCACTTGCAGCCTTACCGCTTCCTGTAATCCTGCTATCTCATCCATTTATGCCCTAGCAGGAGGCACTTCGGGAGCCTCATTTTTTAGTTCATTACCATCTCCCTGACGAGCTAGTTCTGATTGCTCTCGTCGAGGAATCTTACGAGGTCTTCCACTTGCCATTTTTTTAATGTACTGGTGTGTGTGCGTTATTCCTACATGCACATCATTTATCAAGCATTCACTCTTAGTTAATAAATACTAAATACTCATTTCTTGATCAAAATAGTATTACTCAAAATAACGTTATTCCAAACATCCATACAACACCTAGATCGTAATTTAATATAGTACATATTCATTATCCATAATTATTTACAATATATCACAAATTTCCATCTCTAAATTCCTAGTTATTCTGTGTCACTATCGATGAAACTCTCAGGCTTTCTTCTCTCTTAGAGAGAACCTCCAAAGTTTTGGCTAAATTGTCTTTCTATTGCAAACCAAAACCTATTCCATGTCATTTCTTTCGTTGTTCTATCTTGGAAAATCTCCCACCAAACTGCTGGGTATTCCCTTAAATACATAGCCGCTATCCTTGCTCTAAACTTGTGGGGAATGTTGTGCACACGAAAAATTATGGCCATTCGAGTGGTCCAATTTTCCACTGTTATAATGTTCTCCTCATCTGCGAACGTCGGACATTTCGCCGCCTCAACCACGTCACCGTAGTATGCCACTTCACTGGTTGTTATTCGTGATCTACTAGTTACCTCGGTATTTGATTGTTGGCTCGATTAAGCTTCTGCTTATGTATGACTTGGCCCAGACATAAGGCAACTATTTCTTTAACCTATGCATGTAAGATTTTCATAAATCATATACTCAAAAATGCAAAATTCACAAAATACACAACTTATAGTGAGCAGGCTCACTCTCTTTGTGACTTGTACATATGGTGTTGTCTACAGAAATGACTAAACTCTAGCTCTGATACCACCAATTATGACACCCTTTATACCATCTCTTTTCAAGCCTTTTTTACTATTAATCCTAAGGATGTGCCACAATAACTAACCTTCACTTTTCACTTATGTGGAAACTATGGTGTTTTAAAATTTTTGCTTAAATAATATTTCGTTAATACACCATTCCTATTAGGTTTCCTAGCCATAATTATAATTATACAGTCATCCAAGGTTTATGAGTTTAACTCCCAAACATATGTATTTACAAACCCAAAATAATACGCGTGCAGCTTCTTCGATCTGATTATATGTACAGCGGTCAACGAAGCCAACTCCCCTGCTTTGTTCTTACCTTTACCTATAACACAGAGCAAACTTTAATGAGCTACAGGCTTAGTAAGTAGAGCTACAATTACACAATCTCATTTTAGCATATGCATGCATCACAACATCCTAGGTAACTTATGCCAATCAATTCTTACACTTTATGCACGTGCACTATATATCTCTAAAGCCCTCCCAGTACTGCTGTCGGCTTTTTCACAATCCGGCCACATGCCAATTTCTCAAATCACAATATCATGTTCCCCGTCATCACCCACCTGCCTCGAGGGAACGGCCAACGCATTCAAAATCACAATTTCACAATATCACAATATAGTCTCTGTCATCACCCACTTGGCTCAAGAGACTTGTGCGGCTCAATCACAATTTCATCAATCACCATATCATAATAGGAGTCCTTTGAGGACTTGGCAATATCGGCCTATCATGCATGCTAAGCATGCCTGCAAAAAATGGCCACAAAAACTAAAAAACGAAAAACAATGTAAAAAAGCCCCCGGCGAGCGGAGTGAGGCGCCCAGAGGCCGGGAAAGGTGTAAAATTCACATTTTTATTTATGTTTTACATTCTAAAATTAATAAATGATTTTTATGAATTAATACAATAAGCGGCACTATTTTTTTATGACTATTCTATTTTTTATGATTTTCTCTATTTTCGTCTTTGCAAAATAAAATAAAATAAAAGTGATGTCAAAAAATTCTGAAATTTTGCATACATGATCCTTACATTTTTCTGAGCATGCCTCAAAAAATGAAAATAAACGATGTCAAAAAGCCCCCGGCGCACACAGTGGGGCGCCCAGAGGCCAAGAGGGGTCAAAAATTCACATTTTTATTCATGTTTTGAATTCTAAAATTAATAAATGATTTTTATGAATTAATACAATAAGCGGCACTATTTTTTGATGACTATTCTATTTTTTATGATTTTCTCCATGATTTTCTCCACGTTTCGACTTTGAAAAATAAAATAAAGTAAAAACGATGTTAAAAAATTATGAAATTTTAAAGACACGATCCTTACATTTTTCTAAGCATGCCTGTAACAACTGACCTTAAAAAATGAAAAAAGAAAAATGATGTCAAAAAGCCCCTAGCGAAGGTGTAAAATTCACATTTTTATTTATGTTTTACATTCTAAAATTAATAAATGATTTTTATGAATTAATACAATAAGCGGCACTATTTTTTGATGACTATTCTATTTTTTATGATTTTCTCTATTTTCGTCTTTGCAAAATAAAATAAAATAAAAGTGATGTCAAACAATTCTGAAATTTTGCATACATGATCCTTACATTTTTCTGAGCATGCCTGAAAAAATGGCCTCAAAAAATGAAAATAAACGATGTCAAAAAGCCCCCGGCGCACACAGTGGGGCGCCCAGAGGCCAAGAGGGGTCAAAAATTCACATTTTTATTCATGTTTTGAATTCTAAAATTAATAAATGATTTTTATGAATTAATACAATAAGCGGCACTATTTTTTGATGACTATTCTATTTTTTATGATTTTCTCCATGATTTTCTCCACGTTTCGACTTTGAAAAATAAAATAAAGTAAAAATGATGTTAAAAAATTATGAAATTTTAAAGACACGATCCTTACATTTTTCTAAGCATGCCTGTAACAAATGACCTTAAAAAATGAAAAAAGAAAAATGATGTCAAAAAACCCCTAGCGTGGTAGTGGGGCACCCAGATGCCGGGAGGGGTCAAAAATTCACATTTTTATTCATGTTTTGAATTCTAAAATTAATACATGATTTTTAAGAATTAATGCAACAAGCGGTACCATTTTTTGATGAATATTATATTTTTTATGATTTTCTCTATTTTGTCTTTAAAAAATAAAATAAAATAAAAACGATGTTAAAAAATTTTAAAATTTTGCAGACACGATCCTTACATTTTTCTGAGCATGCCTGAAAAAAGGGGCTCAAAAAATGAAAAAAGAAAAACGATGTCAAAAAACCCCCAGCGCACGCAATGAGCACCGTGAGGCCGGTAGGTGTCAAAAATTTACATTTTTATTTATGTTTTGCACTCTAAAATTAATACATGATTTTTAGGAATTAATGCAACAAGTGGTACCATTTTTTGATAAATATTCTATTTTTTTATGATTTTCACTATTTTCGTCTTTGAAAAATAAAATAAAATAATAATGATGTCAAAAAATTCTGAAATTTTGCAGACACGATCCTTACATTTTTCTGAGCATGCCTACCTATAGAAAATGACCTCAAAAAATAAAAGAAGAAAAATAATTTCAAAAGGCCCCCGACGTGCGCAGTGGGGCGCCCAGATGCCGAGAGGGGTCAAAAATTTACATTTTTATTTATGTTTTGAATTCTAAAATTAATACGTGATTTTTAGGAATTAATGCAACAAGTGATACCATTTTTTGATGAATAGTCTATTTTTTTATGATTTTCTCTATTTTGTCTTTGAAAAATAAAATAAAAATGATGTCAAAAAATTCTGAAATTTTGCAGACACGATTATTACATTTTTTTGAGCGTGCATGCAAAAAATAGCCTAAAAAATAAAACAATGTCAAAAAGCCCCCGTCACACGCAGTGGTGAGTCCGGAGGCCGGGAGGGGTCAAAAATTCACATTTTTATTTATGTTTTGCATTCTAAAATTAATACATGATTTTTAAGATTAATGCAACAAACGGGAGCATTTTTTTATGAATATTCTAAAAGGTGAAATATGTTGGGCCCGTTTAGTTTGTTAATTCGAGTTTAGATGTAATTTTATATTAGAGTTTTTTATTCTAATAAAAAAGTTGAAGTGACTGTTTCTGAGAGCTTTTTACTGTAATAAAACTCAAATCTTAAACTTGAATTGGTGAATTGAACAGGGCCGTAGATTGGGCATATTTGAAAGAGTTGTGTCCAAATGGCTATCTTTTAACCGTAGTAGAGTTTCTCATAGACATGTCTGATGCGCCTTGGATATCTTGAAGAACTGAACCAATATATTGCTGCCACTTATTCTATGTAAGGCATGTCCTTTGAAATGAAATCTAAATATTGTGAACATGGCCTGCAAAATTTTACATATTATCTAATATCCAATCTTGGCAAATTGTTAATTTGCTTTTCTTTCTTCTTTGGTTTTTCCCTGTAATGTTTGTTATAGGTGATTTCGGTGAAGAGAATGTTGTGTGGGAGAAAAATGAATAACAGACAGAAACAGAGGCAAACAAAGAGATATAGAAAGTTTGATCTCTCAGAACTTCTTCTTTTGTGATTGATTAAAATACTGAAGCAAATGTTCCTATATATAGGCTTACAATCAAAACAAACAAAACAGAATTTTACGGACCACTAAGTCTACTAAGTCACTAACGTAACCCACTACAACCACTAGCATAATATTAGCAACAATAGCGACTACCCAATTGATTAAACAAACTCAGAAAAATATAGACACTACTAACAACCCGAAGAGAACGGTTAGACTTTGAATCATTCTTCAACACTCCCCCTTGATTCAAAGTTGCAAACGCCAAGAAAAGCTCTAAAGTAGAAAATTTTCTCTTTCGACAGAGACTTCGTCAGTATATCAGCCAGCTGCTCCTGAGTTCTACAGTACTTCAAAGTTATCTCCTCATTCGCAACCAAATCACGAATGAAATGGAAACGAATATCTATATGCTTTGTTCTGCTATGAAATGCTGGATTTTTTGTCATAAAGATGGTTGCCTTGTTGTCACAAAATATCTCTATTGCTCCCTCTTGCCTTTGTTGAAGTTCAGCTAACATTCTTCTTAACCACATGGCTTGACTAGCTGCTGAAGTGGCTGCAACGTACTCAGCTTCTGAGGATGACAATGCTACTATGGCTTGCTTCTTTGAGCTCCAAGTGATTACTCCTGATCCAAGAGTAAAAACATTTGTTGAAATACTCCGCCTATCATCCAACGAACTTGCCCAATCGCTGTCCGTGAACCCACCTAATTTGAAGTTGGAGACTTTTGAGTACTAAATCCTATGATCCATAGTTCCAGCGATGTAACGCAAGACCCGCTTCGCTGCTCCAAAATGAAGCTTTGAAGGATGTTGCATAAACCTGGAAATCACATCAACAGAAAATGCAATATCGGGTCGAGTGTGGGTTAGATAAATTAAGCCTCCAACCAAGCTTCTGAATCTTTTAGCATCAGCCATCTCTGCCCCATCTTCACACTGCAATTTTTCATTGATATTCATGGGTGTGGCTGCTGGTTTACAATCAAGCATGCCAAATTTATTAAGAACATCCTTGGCATATTTTCTTTGGGAAATGAAAATTCCATCTTCTACTTATTGGACTTCAAGGCCAAGAAAATAATGCAGTAAACCCATATCAGACATTTCAAACTCGTGCATCATACGTGATTTAAACTCAGCCACAAGAGAACTAGAGGAGCTTGTATAAATGATATCATCAACATAAAGACAAATAATGATGAAATCATTTTTACCTTCCTTCTTCACGTAGAGAGTGGGCTCATTCTCACTTCTCAAGCATCCATTTCGCTGAAAGTATCCATTAATTTTGCTATACCATGCCCGAGGAGCATGCTTCAATCCGTACAATGCCTTTCTCAACTTGTACACCTTTGTCTCTTTGCCTTCAATCATGAAACCTTCTGGTTGAGTTACGTAAACTTCCTCTTGTAGATCTCCATTTAGAAATGCCAACTTCACATCAAGTTGATAAACAGGCCATTGTAGTTGTGCAGCCAATGCTAAAACAATCCTCACAGTTTCAAAACGAGCTACGGGAGAAGGTTTCTTCAAAATCAATACCATGTTGCTGTGCATATCCCTTCACCACAAGCCGAGCTTTGTGCTTTTGTATGCTTCCATCTGCACCAAATTTTGTCTTGAATACCCACTTCAAACCAATTGCATTTTTGCCTTCCGGCAAGTCCACCATCTCCCATGTTCCATTCTTTTCAATTGCTATCAATTCTTCCATCATCGCTCTTTGCCATTCTTCTTTTGCAGCTACTTCTCCATAGGTTATAGGATCTGAAACAGTAAGAGCAAATTGGCAAGACTCATTGATGTCTCTCAAGGATCTAAACTTTCTGGGTGGTGTCTCATCCGAAGACTCTTTAAGAGTGGACGAAGAGTCTCTGCTTAGTGATGCCGAAGCTGATGAACTTGGTGACGCCGTAGAGGAACCGATTGGAGAACTTGTAGGAGTTGGCTCTTGACTTTCATTTGGAGAGATTCCAATGGACAAAGGAACCTGTTGTTGCATCTTCTCATCACTTCCACGCCAATCCCAGCTTGCATTTTCATCAAATACTACGTCCCTTCTTATTAAAATCTTGCCACTAAGAGGGTTATATAATCTATATGCTTTGGATTGTGTACAGTAACCAATGAAAATACATTTTTCAGATTTTTCATCAAGTTTATGACGAAATTGAGAATTTACTAAAGCATAAGCAATACACCCAAAAACTCTTAAGTGACTTACAGATGGTCTTGTGCCACGCCAAGCTTCAAATGGAGTTCGATTCATGACAGCCCTTGTGGGAGAGAGATTCAATAAGTAAACTGATGTTGCCACAGCTTCAACCCAAAATTCAGTTGAAAGTCCCTTTGCTGTAACATGCTTCTTGCCATCTCCACAACAGTTCGATTCTTCCGCTCGGCGACGCCATTTTGCTCTGGAGTGTAAGGAGCTGTCAACTCCCTATGAACGCCATTTTCTTCACAAAAAAGATCAAAATCTTTGGACAAGAATTCTCCACCTCTATCAGTGTGAAGAACTTTGATGCAAAATCCACTTTGCTTCTCAACTTTAGCTTTGAAGTGCCTATATTTCTCAAAAGCTTCTGATTTGTTTTCTAAAAAATAAACCCAACTCATGCGACTATAATCATCAGTAAAGAGCAAGAAATAACGACTCCCACCAAAAGATTTAGTTTGCATAGGCCCACATAAATCAGCATGAATTAATTCAAGACACTTTGAAGCTCTCCAAGCCTTTCTAACTGGAAATGACTTTCTAGTTTGTTTCCCATAGATGCACCCTTCATATAATTCAATAGAAGCAATTTTCAGTAGTCCAAAAAACCATACCTCTTTCACTTAGCAATTTCAGACCCTTGATGTTGAGATGCCCGTATCGCAAATGCCATAGCTTCGAGTCATCTTTTCCACTAGCAGTAAAGACAAAATTCTCCATGATTGAAACTTCTAATGGGAACATTTTGTTTTGAGTCATGTTGATATTAATCAACGTATGGCCTGAGTGCTTTTCTTTAATAACACATGCATCGTTGTCAAATGAGATGGAATATCCAGCAGCCATTAACTGCCCAACACTTAGCAAATTATATTCCAAATCAGGTACAAATTGAACATTATGCAAGAGCTTTACGTTATCATGGGTAGTTTCAATTCCCACTGTACCTTTCCCTTCAACTTGCATTTCTTTGCCATTTCTAAGTTGCACCTTCAACTTTTGCGTCTCATCAAGCTCTTTGAACAAGGATTTCATCCCTGTCATATGATTCCAACAGCCGCTGTCTACAAACCACACATCGCTTGACTTATTGTTAGTATCAAAATAAGCCATGAAAAGCTTACTACTTTCTTCTCCATTCTCTGCTGCATAATTCACGGGCTGATCTTTGTACCAACAATCAGCTTTTATATGACCATACTTCTTGCAATGATAGCATTGAACACCATTCTTATTGGTTCTTTGCTCACCGGACTGCCGTTGCCCGTCGAAGTGACCTCTGCCTCTTCCGTTACCACAACCACGACCACGGAATCCTCCTCTTCCACGGCCCCTGCTTGTCGAACTGTCACTTTCTGCAGCTTTGGTGACTGTGTCCTTCACTTGAAATGCCTTTTCTTCATTCTTTTTAAGTGATCGATTAATTCTTGTCTCATGTGCTTGCAAAGACCATTAGTTCATCAAAGGAAAAAACTGACAAATCCTTAGATTCTTCTATGGTAGCAACAACGTGATCAAACTTTGGAGACAAGCTTCTCAATACCTTTGCAACAACCGTTTCATCATAAATCTTCTCGCCGTACGATCGCATTTGACTGACTATTGTCGTTGCCCGAGACAAAAAATCAGCAATTGATTCTCCACTCTTCATGTACAAGGTTTCAAAGTCACGTCGTAGTGATTGCAATTTCACCACCATAACTTTGAACCACCTTGAAACTCCTGCAGAATTGACCAAGCTTGCTTCGATGTGGTTGCGGCTGCAATTCGTGAGAAGATGCTGTCATGGACAGCCTGCTGAATAATCACCAGTGCCTTCGAATCTTTCTTCTTATTCTCCTTCAATCTTGTTTCTTCATCAGGATCTGCGTAGCCTTGTTCTACCAAGTCCCAAAGATCTTGAGATTTGAGTAGAGTCTTCATTCGGATACTCCAGAATTCATAGCCTTCTCCCTTAAAGATGGGGATGAGTGGTTGTGCAACACTCATTGCATTGCTGATGCTGGCCATTGGTTATCCTCTCAGGTGTTTCACTCAACTCACATGTTTACCCTCTCTACGCACTCTCACAAGATGTCTCTGATACCAAATTTGTTGGAGAAAACTGAATAACAGACAGAAACAGAGGCAAACAAAGAGATATAGAAAGTTTGATCTCTCAGAACTTCTTCTTTTGTGATTGATTAAAATACTGAAGCAAATGTTCCTATATATAGGCTTACAATCAAAACAAACAAAACAGAATTTTACGGACCACTAAGTCTACTAACTCACTAACGTAAACTCACTACAACCACTAGCATAATATTAGCAACAATATCAACTACCCAATTGACTAAACAAACTCAGAAAAATACGGACACTACTAACGAGTTAGACTTTGAATCATTCTTCAACATGTTGAACTTGTTCAAAGTGTAGCTAATCTGAAATTTCCGAAAGCTGTTATTCTTGGAAATCATGATGCTTGGTATACACAACAGTTTTCTGGGAAGTAAGTTCCTGTGTTATTGAGACTAATAACATTCACTATTGCTATTTTCTTAATTATAGAAATAGCATGTTAGAATTATCCATCATTTCTTTTCTCTCTTAAAGTCATAAGTTTGTTTAGCTTACTCTCTCTCTCTCTCTCTCTCTCTCTCTCACACACACACATGCACACAAATCGTTGTATGGATGCCATATATGTTGAAGTACTTTGGTATTTGATAATTTTGGTAAGTAATTATACAAGTTAAACCCTTAATTTGGGAACAGGAGAAAGGATGGTGTTCAACTTCAGCTTGAAAGGTGAGCTTGTCTTGTCCATAAGAATACCATTTATTCTTAATCTTAATCTTTTTATATATCCATTAACTCATCATGGAAATGTTAATGGGCACAACGCCTTTGAAACAGCATAACCTCGACTCTCTTTGATCGCATTAATGAATGATTGAAAGACATTTTTGTCATATAAAACAACAACCTATAAAGATAAGGCAAACATCATGTTAGATATTCAATTACTTTAGGAAGGCCCAATTTTCATTAGTTTAACCCAAATTTCATCTCAAAGCTAATATCGCATACAAAGCTGAATTAAGTAGGAGACAAATCAAAGTGACACAAATATGACATGATAAACGTTTGACTTCTAGAATGCATGATAAAAACTTTAGACAATACTTGTAAAGTACCTGTAAGGAGAAGACAGGAACCAAATATGATCATTTTTATCCTAGGTTTTATGTGGTGTCTTAGTCAAGGAACAATTCATTCACCTCTATAATCGGCAAGTGCAGTGAGTACGATGGAACTTGTTTACGTTCCCTCGTTGTTACGCATGTATTTGAGGCTTAAAAAAAAATAATAATAATAAAAAAATTTAAAAAAAAAGAGAGAGAAGTCACCTCTATAATCGGCAAGTGCAGTGAGTACGATGGAACTTGTTTACGTTCCCTCGTTGTTACGCATGTATTTGAGGCTTAAAAAAATAATAATAATAAAAAAATTTAAAAAAAAAAAGAGAGAAGAAGAAAGAAAGAAATCAGGATCCACAATCTAATATGAGAAAGATAAGAAGAATAATAAATATATCAGAAATGTAAGCGAAAATGAAGTGGTCCCATTCTTGAGAAAGACATTGCCACACCTTGCCACAGTGGGTATATAGGCAATTGAACAACAGCAACAGCATTCAGTATTCTAGTGTATCAGAAGAAATAGACTTGACTGGGTTATTTTGTCATGTATGTCTCCAAATATTATATTTTGTACTTTAAATAAAGTATGCTGGCAAGTAATATCGGCTATGATTGTCAGTCTTGGTGACGCTCATGTAGCTTATCAATGTTTGGACTTTCCTATGGTAAAACTGAGTGTTGTTGGTGGACGACCATTTTCTTGTGGTGGACAAAAGGTGTTTCCAAAAAGGCTCCTGTCTGCAAGGTACTCATCATATTGAAGTGGTTTTTCTTTATATTTGGCCTTTAATCAGTTATCGTTTGGTTTAGTCATTTTTCGCTACCATATGATTTACTTATTTCGCTTCATATATATCCAAATGCTGTTGATTTTATTCTATGTATGTTTATTTGCCTGAAAAAAAAAAAAAAAAAAAAAAAAAAAAAAAAAAATTTTTTTTTTTTCCAAAAAAAAAAAAAAAAAAAAAAAAAAAAAAAAAAAGGAATCCCTATGTTTCAACCCAGTTGCATCTGCTTGTTGATGAAGCAGAATTTATTATTTAGGCTTTCTTTATTTTCTCTTTTGCTTGGTTAGAGATGCACTAACCAAATTTTGATGAGTCCCCTTGTAGGCATGATTAGTAACTTTTCAACTGTCCCTCAGGGTTACACTAAATCAGCATTTACTTATTAAATCCAGAACAAGGTTTTAGAGCAAGAAAGGGCGGAGCCTTAATCGTAGATTAACTCAGTGATATATATACGTTTGAGACGTGAGATATTCAAAACGTTAATTGGTTGAGGCTGAAACTGATCACTGAATTATGCAGAATATTGAATTAGAAAATGAATAACCATGTAGAAAGAGGGAGAAGTTCTCATCTCTCTAAGAAAATTTAAAATAAAAAATATATATAATAAGAGGAAAGGAAAGGGGGCCTTCGCTGGTAGATCATAAAAAAAAAAGGTTAAAATGGCAAAGTACCTCTCTTTTTTCTTTTAGCTGGAAAAAGACAACAAAAAAGAGGTAAAGCAATCAATAATTATGTGAGAAGTCTGAATATTTGTGAAACGCGTTTCGTGAATTGGAGAGAAAATAACAACCATACCTAACCTCTTCCTTTTGCTAATTATGGAATAAAAAAATAAAAAATAAAAAGGCTTTTGCACGTTACAACTTGTGGCCCTTTATTTCCCTTCTCGTAAGTTGGAGAATGGAGACTCTGATGTTTTACTCTCTTTTATTCACTGTAGCTTAATTTACATATCCTCTTAGATATGGAGTTGAAGACATGGATGGAAGTGCTAAAAAAATCTGTAAAGGTGCTTTAAGTGCGCCTTGAGGATCATTTCGTTATACTACTTGCACATAATGGACCCACAGATGCATGTCTGCAGAAACAAAATACTTGTCCTTGTATATGCCATGGCTTTATTTGAGGGAAATTTTGTTGGTTTCTAACTTGGATGACATATGCGGAAAAGATTGGGGAATTGGAGACGGCGATCATGGTGATCCAGGTAACCCATAAGGTTTAGGCTTTGTAGATGATAAAAATCTCCAGTTTCTATAATCGCTCGTGGAGCTATAGTAGCCCATCATACCAAAAATATAGACATTAGTTGTCCCTTCATCAAGACTTATGTTCTGTTGTACGTTTTAGTCTAAAGAAACAATCAATCATGCAATTGGTTTCTCTATATCAAGAGAGTGATAAATTCACATTTATGGTACGACAGATCTAGAACAGGCCATATCCCTCTTAAAAGACAGCAACAAAGTCTCTGTCCCATTGGTAGTGTTTGGTCACATGCATGAAAGGGGTCTGCGTAAAATGATCGTAAAGATCGTGGTCGGTTCCGACGACACCATTTACCTGAATGGAGCCAATATTGTTCCTAGGGTTAGAACATTGATTAATGAACAAGCCAAAGAAGGAAGCAGCAATAGCTTCACAAAAGATTAAGCCTTAGCTAATCTTTCCTTACAAGAGTGAGTCTAAAGGCTCCATGATGGCCTTCACTATAGTTGACATTTTGGATGGACGAGTTGATAAGATTTGCTGAAAGTTAGGTTTCAGTTTTTGGGGACAAGGCCACATTGGAAGAGGAGCACGTATTATTTAAGAGGCAATTAGAGTTAACCCAAAATTGGATTTCTCTATTTCAGTCATGTTGTGTTTAGTTCATCATCATCTGTCACCCTTGCATCACATATTCGCCTAAATATCACAAGGCATATTCCTTTTTACTGTAGTGTGTGAAAACACAATAATATTTCTGAAGCCCCTTTTTGGTGTGTATATGGGCTTGACATACTACCTTGACAGTGTGTACTTTAAATGCTTTTATAAGCTATAACTGACTTGTCTGTTTGAGCCTAAATTATTGAATATTTCACAATATTGCTTGATGAAAATATGCAGGGATTCCAAACCGCTAAAAAAGCCAACTATTTCGGTCCCCATTATCCCCCTTCAAGCCTATTTGCTTTTTCTTGTATGGGTATATCATCTGACCTGCCTGATTTCTCCACCCAGGTTTTTTCTTTTCATTTTTTTTATTTTTATTTTTTTTCCCTTTCTCTAGTCAAATTACTAGCAATGTGCGCGCATTACACCAAGAGGTAATTTTACGCTCTAGAAAAAGTTGATCATCTTTATACAACAGAAGTAGATTATCTGTGTATATGTATACATGAATATATATAAGATATTGTTATATGAAGTTATTTACAATATATATATATATAAAAGATAATGTCATATGCAGTTATTTACAATATATATATAAGATAATGTCATATGAAGTTATTTACAATATATATAACTCCTTGTTCTTCTTTGTTGTTGTGGCCCTTTTGTTTTTTTAACTGTAAAATATAAATTTAAAAAAATATTAGTATTAATAATTGAGAAAATTAGAAATAGTATGATTTAGAAGTAATTACGTTACCTAAATCTAAGGAAAAAAAAAATAGATAAGATGGAGAAAACAACTAAGGGCATTAATAACTAAAATACAAATAAAACACAAAACAAAAGAGATATAGACTACTACCATTGATAAAAATGCAATAGAATTTTTTTCATGCAATAAAATTTTTTTCATAACTTCATATCGACAATATTTATTAATAAGGCCAGAAAGAAAATGTTTAACACAAACTATAGCAATATAATCAAGGTAGTAGCAGCAACAAAAATTAAAAAATTATAGGTAAAAATCATTAATAATACCTCTAATGCTATAAATCCTGCTTGAGGAGCCAACTATGAACTGAGTAAATGAGGCAAGAAACTCTGGAAAAATGCAAATAATCAAGTAAATCAATAAATAAATAAGTAAAAAACATATCAAAAAGCTGATACATGTAGATATAACAATATTTTTATACAATAATCGTGGCTAAGATATAAGCTATTCTTAGCAATGTGTGATAGAAAGTTGTGGCTGCCTACTAAGGGCAATTGCGCAAAGAAAAGCACATTATATCTATCACATACATTATACTTGTATGTGACAGAGACTGATTAAGTGGAGCAATATATAAAATTGTCCAAAAACTACCAGGTGAATTAAGAGGAAGAGGAAAAAAAAAACACAATATTAAAAAAACAGTAAACTGCATGATGGAAAAAATAGAACAAAAAGATGATAGAAATAGATTAAACAACAGTAGAATGCACTCTATGGACAATCCCTGGCAAAAAGGAATCAAAAAAAGAATGAGAAAGAAATAATGAAAGAGGCAAAAGACTTTCGGGTTTTGCTACGAAACAATAAGGGAAATAGAAAGTGACAAGATTGAAAAACAAAGGAGATATAATGTCCCAATGATGGAAAAATAACGAACAGTCTTCAAGAAAAGGAGGGGAAAAACTATAAAATCAGACATGATTTCCAAAACAAAGTGAACACTTAGGGTATGAAAAGACCAAAAACAAAAACAACAATACTAAGAAAACAATAAAGCCTACCACGAAAGACTGTAAAAGAAATGGACAATAAAAATAAAGTGTGGAAGAACAAAAGGAATTATGAAAAGAACAAAAGAATAAATACAAATAAGGTAAAAAACCTAGAGTAAGCAAACATAATAAAGAAAAAAGTACCTAACTGTTTTTACTGAAAAAACAGTGGATAAAATCAGAATCCAAATAAGAAAAATGTATTCACAGCTTTGGACAAATTATATGATGCTCAATACATCAAAATCAATCATGACCATCATTGCCACGTAGAAAAACTTCCCAGAACTAAGATAGATAAAATAATCGTGGCTCAGATATAAGATATTCTCAACAATGTGTGATACAAATTTGTGGCTGCCTACTAAGGGCAACTGCACAAAGCAAAGCATATTATATCTATCACACACATTATAGAATATATATGACAAAGATTGATTAAGTGGAGCAATAGATGAAGTTGTCTAAAAACTACCGGGTGAATTACAAGGAAGAGGGGCAGAGAGGGGAAGAAAAAAAAAGACCCAGTGTTAAAAAAATAAAGTCCATGATGAAAATATACAACAAATGGATAATAGACAATAGCATACACTACATAGACAATGGTTGGCACGGAGAGGTAAAGAAAGGAAAGAAAAAGAAAAAATGAAAGAGGCAAAAGATTTTAGGACTTTGCTGAGAAATAGTAAAGAAAAGAAAGAATGAGACGATTGAAAAACAAAGGAAATCTAATGTCCCAATGATGGAAAAATGACCAGCAACTTTTAAGAGAAGGACAAACGAAATAATAAAACAACAAGGGGAAAAGTATAAAATCAAGACATCATTCCCAATGGAAAGTGAACACTTGGGGTATGAAAAGACCAAAATAGAAATAACAATACTAAAACAACAATAAAGCCCATTACGAAAGAAAGTAAAAGGAGTGGACAATAAAAATAAAATGAGGAAGGAGAAATCAGACAATCCAAAGACCAAAAGAGTAAATAATAAGGTAAAAAAGAATGAATACAGATAAGGTAAACAACAAATGGAAGAAACCTAGAATAAATACAAATAAGAACAAAACAAATAAGAAAAATGTATTCACAGCAATCTTTGGACAAATTATATAAAGCTCAATACATCAAAATCAATCATGACCATCATTGCCACACAGAAAAACTTACCAAAACTAACTTAGGTAGAAATATATATGTATATATATATATATATGTATATTTGCATGGATAAATAGGAGGCCAATGCATGATCATTATTGACTGAACAAATAAAATGAAAAATAAAGACAAATAAAAAAACATAAGGAACAAATATTAATATCGCTACAACGAACTAATACATCCAATATGGCAGTAAAAATTAAAGAGCTATAAATAGGGAATATTAACAACACCTGGATCGCTCTAAATATTGCCTTATATCTAAGATATCAACCAACTAAATGGGTGCAAAGGCAGTGAAAGACAAAAGAATAAACTGATGGAGCAGTAAATGATGGAGAGTGGCATAGAGCAATAAATGACTGAGAATGAGATAAAAGAGCAAAACGTGGAATGCAAAGGAAAGGAACAGAGAACATCAAAAGAGATGGTAGAGATTGGTACCTTCTAAAGCAAAATAGCCTGACAAAGTGAAATTCCCTGCAATAGGTAGGAAAGCCAATTAGGAATTAGGGTTAGGGATTTCCATTCAAACCCGAAATTGCTTCAAAAAACTCTCTGAATTTTGACTAAATTTAACTCACATAATGTCTAAGAACATCTAAAATCTTGAATTGTCCAATGAATTCGACATCAAAAAAAGATTTTTTTTTTCAATGAGAAAGAATTTGGAGTAAGGAAAAAAAAGGGAAAGCCTTTTACTGACGAATCATTAAAATTGGAGTTTTTTTTTTCAATGAGAAAGAATTTGGAGTAAGGGAAAAAAAGGGAAAGCCTTTTACTGACGAATCATTAAAATTGGAATGTCTTCGATCTTTGATACAGGGACCAATGAAGGAGTGAGTAGTCACAGGTAAAACAACATCCAACAGAAGTAATCAAAGGTACAAAGATAAAAGAACAAAACAATAAATATAAGCAATGGAATGAGGCAGTAAGTGATGAAATATAAAATAGGGCAGCGGAAGCAATAGATGCAGGGAAGAGAGGTAGAAACACATATCACAAATCTATGCAGAATAGTAATAGTCATAAATAAGGAGTAAAAAGATAAGGATGAACACTAAATAGCCTCTATTAATCAGACACATACCTCTAGATAGTCAGTTAACGGAGATAAAAAGACTAAAATTTCCTAATTATATCATAAAATAAATAAAATTTCAGACATAATAATTAAATACTAATGGTGCTAGAGATAGGAAATTCTAAAGAAATTTTTTTTCCCTAAATTTATCGAAAATTCCAGATAATATAAACTAAAGCTGTCAAAAATTCTAGATAATAGAAAGAGAGAAAAATCAACAGCTCATTTAATATATCTATAATAAAGGCAGAACAAACCATCAACCTAGGAAATCAGATGACCAATAGAAACAACCCAACTCATGAAGGCAATAAATGAAACAGAAAAAACCAAGAATCACTGATATACGGCATCAAACGAACCAACGGAAAATCCACTCATGCAAATAAAATCCCTGCACAGACAAATTCGTCAAAGAAAAAGGTCAAGTATCCGGAAAAAATTTCAATAAAATAACATGCATTACTAAAAAAAACAAAAACCAGAACAAAAAAACGTAAATGAAACAAATGAAAAAGCAAGAAAAAAAATCAAAGACTCGCGGACGAAGAACAGAAAAAAAATCAAACATAAAACCCAAATCTAAACAGGAAAAGAGCCCAAAAAACACCCCCAAATCTACCCCCAAACCCCACCAAAGGAACGAAGATATTGAAGCCACAGAAAGAGAAGAAGCAGATCAACAGTTAAACAGGAAGGGGAAAAAACGCCAAAGCGGTGAAGAAGGCAGAAACTGAGAAAGAAAGCAACAGTAGGGAATCGAAGAGGGAAGAAAAATTAGGGTTGCACCAGTTGCAAAGTTACCAAAACCAAGGAAGAGAGGAAATAAAGGGGGCAGAGAAAATGAGGGAATCAAGGAAAGAAAAATTAGAGCCCGTTCACTTCGCTGATTCGAGTTTAGAATTCGAGTTTTTCTACAGTAAAAAGCTCTCACAAACAATCATATTTAACTTTTTTGCCACAG